CCTACATAGAACCAGACACCCCTGCCCACATGATTGGTGGGCCAGGCCAATTATTGAATCGTAGGAAGCAGGGGACAGAGTCACATGCTCCTCCAAACTTTTAAGCGCCAGATTTTTCTAAGATCCTACTCAACTTTTACTTTTCCCATATACAAAGGGACTGTTTGAGACTGGCAGTTTGTTACAAAGTAACTGCCATGAACGTTACAAGAGACTGTAGCGCTCACCCCTGATGGAGCCGCTGAATATGAAATAGGACTCTCCTACCTGTTTTGCCAGCCAGCGGCCCCTTTCTCAGCTTCAACAACACTGACACTCCGGAACAGAACAGGCTTGAGTCGTAGGGTCTTTTTAGCTGGGATAGAGGGTTTGGGATTGCAGGATACCCGAGTAACAATCCAGAGGATTCTCTATTCTCCCTTAGCAATGGCTTGAAACAGTAGCACAATGGTCCTGTAAGAGCGACCAGTATTATGTAGTAGCACAGAGAACAGCCAGGAATAGTCCAAGACTTTGAAGGAGGACTGTCACAGGACTTGTAGTGCACCAACTGGCTTCTCTTCAGTAAAGTACCTGAGAATAGGGTGAGGGGTCTCTTACAGGGTCGAGGTGGTAGCTCTCACCAGCTCCTCTGCGACACTCCTCAATAAGCAGATTCCACCTCCAGCCCAGCTTCCATCAGGTTTCCTTTCAGTAGCAGCTGAAGTCTTTGGGCCTGCAGCACCTGCCACTTGCTGGGGCGCATACCAGGTATCCAGTAGTGTCTTAGTCCTCTAAGCAGAACAGTAGAAAGGCATCATGGCACACTCACAAACCAGCATGTAAAACAACTTGTCTCACCAATAAGGACAATGACAGAGGTTTGGATACACGTCTTCTGCAAAGGATGTGTAAGCCGCACTGCCGCGCCAAGGCACCTCTTATAGTGCGGTCCTAACTCTAAACTATGAGAGTCTCCATCTTGGAGCACATGGGGGCAGAAGATATCAAATTGGGTGCAGGCCTGTCAGGAGGACGCCCCACCTCCTTAAAGGTACAGAAACACACAAGGGATCCCGCACATCCCATTGGCAGCTGAGAAACCCCATGCGTCGCTGCACCAAATCGGTAAAGCAAAACAAACGACAAACGCACTCAACAATTTGTTACCAGTTGTACAGTAAGGTGCACACGAAATGGGCTTTGAACAGTAGAACAGTAGAAAGGCATCATGGCACACTCACAAACTAGCATGTAAAACAACTTGTCTCACCACTAAGGACAATGACAGAGGTTTGGATACATGTCTTCTGCAAAGGATGTGTAAGCCGCACTGCCGCGCCAAGGCACCTCTTATAGTGCGGTCCTAACTCTAAACTATGAGAGTCCTCTAAGCCCCCCGCATCTGCCACATGCTGAGGACCAAGCCAGGCATCTGCAGTATCTTAGGCCTCTAGGCCCCCTGCATCTGCCACATGCTGAGGCCTAGGCCAGGCATCTTATATCACACAGACCTCCTCCTAGGGAGGGCCCCAGCCATACCTCTGAGTCATCCTGCTCAGGGATTGGTCAGAGTCAGGTGCACAGTCACAGTCTGAGGATGGATCCTCCCTCACTGTATGCTGAGTCCCCAACCCAGCAACAGGGGGAGGCAATCAATCCAGCAAAC